AGAGAGAGAGAGAGAGAGCTTGGGCGGAGGCCAGGAGTACCTACCTGCAGCGCCGTTGCTCCAGCTTCGTCTTCGAGGTACCTGCAGCACAGCGCCACATCACAGGTTAGTACCTGGTTCRTAACAGTRAGAGAGAGAGGGTTCTTCTTCCTCTTCTTCTCAGTCCACCATCTCCTCCTCTCCCTCTCAACCCCTGACTTCACTGCATTTGCAGACTGCGAGAGAAGAGATACCGGGGTTGGTGATATYGGATCCAGACTCGACTTTTGGGGACTTCAGACATGGCAACGAGGGGTTATTTGGGATTGGTGACCAAGACTTGGTGTTAACGACACTCCCATCTCTCCCCCCTCCTTTCGTCTGGTCCTTACCTCTTCGTCTGTGTATGTCTGGACCTGGCGCTTTCTCCCTGTGTGCAGCGCCAGGCTCCTTCACACCTGGTGAGGGATACGATGCATGTTTAGTCTGAGTTCAAACATTGATTGGGCTCGTGATTGGTATTCTAGCATTCTGCTTCGCTACTTGTACTACGTGTGTGAGGTCAGTCCTTGTCAGGTCAGTCTTTGTATCTAAGTCTTCCCTGCGCTATTCARCACTTWTGTATGTATGAGAATGCACATTGTCTGTCGAGATTCTACTCTCACCGCATTGTCAATTTCAGTCCTTTTTATCACACTGCAGTTCCTCGGTTATTACGAACATCACATATTTGTGCATGTAACAGGTATCTCTCCCATCATTCTGCTGCCATGGACGCCGCCCCCTCCGTCATCAACGTTTTTGTTGTTGTTGTTATTGTAGTTGATGTTGTTGTTGTTGTCGTCGTTGTTGTTGTCGTCTCCATTATCATCCGCATCCATCTGCTGTATCACTCCCCTCATGCGGCAGCCGTGGACGTCGCCTCCCCCATCATCATCGTTGTTGTTGTTGTTGTTGTTGTTGTTGTTGTTGTTGTTGTCGTTGTTATTGATGTTGTTGTTGTTGTTGTTGTTGTTGTTTTTGTTGTTGTTATTGATGTTGATGTTGTTGTTGTTGTTGTTGTTGTCACCACCGTTATCATCCATGTCCATCTGCGACTTTACACCCTTCATGCTGCTGTCATGGACGTCGCCCCCGCCCTCGTCACCGTTGTTGTTGTTGTTGTTGTTGTCATTGTTGATGTTGATGTTCTCGCCCATTATCTCGATGATGACCTCGGATGCCCGGACACCACTCTCTGCCCTGCTGCTGCCATGATCGTCGCTGCCACCTTCGTCGTCATCATTATTGTTGTTGTTGTTGTTGTTGTTGTCATTGTCATTGATGTTATTGATGTTATTGATGTTATGTGATTGTTCTCGCCGCAATACTCTTTGCCAGCCTTCACACCATCCTCCACCCAGACGTTCCTGTCTCCCTTGTCACCCATCTCACCCTTCCCTTTTCGAGTCTCCAGCTGATTACGAAAATTGCGCCCTATTGTAAAGAGGGTTTTGCAAGCACACATCCTATCCTCCGCCCGCCTCCTGTCGATGTAAGTGTCGAGTCGGGGATCCGGCCCCTCCTCCAGCTCCCACATGATGTCAAGCATCTCCTGGGTCCTATCTTCCAACTACAGATCCATGGAGATCGCCCCCCCGTCGATCTCCTCCCCCTCCTGCTGCCGCATCGTAAGCACTCCAACTATCGTCCGCAACTGATTGCATCCCTCCTCCAGTATGATGAGCCATTCCTCCGCTCGATGTTGTAGCTCCCCCACCAAATCCATCTCTCGCCCACTCAGCTGGCAGTGCGCCACACACACGGTTCCTCCGAACCACTTGTCAATCCCACAGCTGGCGCTACCCCTGGTCACGTGTCACGGGACATCCACGTCACCAGACAATAGGTGCCACGTGACAGCACACCACACACACCTATTGGGCACGTGCACAGGCCCAACAACCGGGGAGCTGTCCTCCCCAGTCGCCAGTCGAGCCCCCAGTCGCCAGTCGAGCCGGGGCGACCGGACCCTACCGGTCCGCCGGCATCGGGGCACTAGCGCTAGCACAGCGGAGAGCCAACCACTACCCTACCTCACTTCTTACCGACGATCCTTGTTGTAAGGTGGCCACCCACTACAGCGGTATTGCTGAATATAGTTGCTGCATTTTTTCTTGCAATCTTTTGACATTTTTAAGAATGGGCTGCAGCTGTTGTGACGATTTTCATGTTCGGGCGTGAGTGTCCCACAAATCCCCGAGAGTAAAAATTCCATTTTTCACCCATGTGAGCCAATGAGAGCCGCTCGTCAATGAAAATGGTGCCCCTGCAGCGTCAGAGACGTGCGGGTTTTGGGTTGGCCCCATCCGTCTCCACAAGTCCACCATTGTGGTCTACAAAGGGTCATTTTTAAGATCCCATCTGGCTTTGTTACGGGGCAACCCATTTCTCTTATGTCGAGGGGAACTTGGTAAGGACCATGCCGGGTTGACCAGCCAGGTGAGAGGATGGATTGTGTAGTGTGGGTGGGAGGAGGGGGGCAGGTTTGACAATTGGATGCAAGCGAGGGGCAGCCACGGGACGTCGTTAGCGAGAAGCAGGCGAGTGATAATTTTAAACAACATCACTCTGATTTTGTCTCCTGGGTCAAGGATACCCAGTCCCCCCACCACCGTAATGTACTTCCATATCACCCTTTTGATACATTTTGTGTGGGCATGGTCATTTCTCCATAGGTAAGCTGCTAGTACCTCACGCAGGTGCGTCAATTGCTTCATTGGGATCTGCCAGAACGCTGTTTTATACCATATGGTAACTAGGATGGCGTTATTGATTGCCAATGCCCTTCCTACCAATGTAGTGGGGAAGTCATCCCATTTGGCCAACCTTTGCAGGTTGTTTGGACCAGTGCCTAACCGTGGCCTAGTGGGGGTCCCATAGCTGTTAGGCGGATTCCCAAAATCCTAATTGCCTCTTCACGCCTTCTCCAATTGACCGGCGGGTGTTGTGGGGGTTGGGTGTTTTGTGGAGAGAGTCACCAACCTTTTGTCTTGGTTCCCCAGTTAACCTTCATGTCCGCTGCTACGGCAAATGTCTAGATTGTATTCGCCAACGCTCTTTGGGATGCCTTTGAGGCATCAATGAGGACTGTCAGATCATCTACGGATAGGGACGTCACTGTCACTGACCGCGAGGGTAATTCCGGGATGTCGATGCATTCAATGTCCGGATTAGCCAGAATCATTGTCGCAAGTGCTTCCATAACTAGCACAAACAGGAAGGGGGGCACTGGGTTCTCCCAATCTTTGAAGGGCGAACGTGGGGGAGAGGTGGTCATTGACCATAACGTTTGTTGTGGCGGACCTGTGCATGATAGACACCCATGCTATGAAGGAGTCGCCGAAGTCTATTTTCTGCAAACAGGTATCCATGAAGTCCCAGTCTACGTGGTCGTAGGCCTTTTCAAAGTCTATGAATAAAATAGCGGCCTCTTTTTTGTGTTGCCTGACATATTTTATCGTTTCGTTTATGAGGAGCACGTTATCTTGGAAGTTGCGTTGGGGCATAAACCCTGTTTGATCCTGAAAGATCAAATGTTTCATATGCGGGAGGCATCATTTTGTAAGGTAAGGGAAGGAGTGTCATCGACCTATAATTCCTAACATCACTTGTATCTTTTTTTTTGTACAACAGTGTGGTCACCCCCTGAGAAATTAACCCCCCAAAGGATCCCTCCATCCGAACTGCGTGTAAAT